AATGGGCACCTATGCACTGTGCTTGTTATACCAAGAGTTCTAACATATCACAAATTATCTATGCCACACATAAAAAGAGAATTAGCTTTCATAAATCTCACTAAAGTCAATACGCTAGCTATAATAAACCAAAGCTGAATAGATCATTTTATTTGCCTTCTTACTATTTAATAGGATATTTGCTGTTTGCATAGAGGGAGTGATTCAAATGACTTAAGCCTTGCTTTCAATACCAACAACAAAACCAACTCCCAAGCTGCCCAAAAAGGTAGAATCAACCAGTTCCTCTTTATTAATTTTACTGAGACAACTTGACATATTCAGTATAATTCCTCAAACTTTAGAGTCATGTTCATAGACAGAAGTGTTAGATTTGGAAAAGGAAATCTTAGGTTCTGACCAGGCTCTGTCACTTACTGACTGGGTGAAACACAGCCTCTCTAAGCCTCAGTTACCTCAAAGGTAAAATGAATATAAAACAACGGCTACCTCACAGGGTAGAGAGAAAATTCAAAAAGACAATGTAACAATTGCTTTTAAACTGCAAAGCCCCATCAAGAATAAGCTATTATTATTATTTATTTATTTTTGCTGAGGAAGAGTCTCCCTGAGCTAACATCTGTTGCCACACCCAGGAACTGAACCCAGGCCACCCAAGTGGAGTGTGCTGAACTTAACCACTAGGCCACCGGGGCCCACCTAAGAATAAGCTATTATTAATTATCAATATTGCTCTTGATGTTGACGGTATTTGGCCCACTATTAGCATGTTTGAAACTGAAAAGTTGAACAGGCATTTTGCCCCCTCTAGTCTTCCTACCTTCTCAGTTTATTCAGAAATACACATGCTCCTTTTCAATACAAAACAGCACAGAAACAGTAAGAGTTGTGAGGTCACTCTTTACTACCTTCTCATTCTCAGTGCTTTTCTGACAGCTTTCAGGCACTTTGCACTATGCTGAAAAACCATAGAAACAATTATCATGTGAGAGAAAGAGACACTTTGGCCACTATATCATGCAATTCTGTGGACAGAACATTTTTCTCAATCAGTACAGAAGGGAGTTTTCTTGGTGTGCAGGAGAATTGAACCTGAGTCTTTTTGCTTACAAAGGACACACAACTTCCTAGAGATAAATTTTCAATTGGAGAAACACAAGGAACAGAGAAGGAAAGAAGGCCAGAAAAATGCTAGTGAAGATTGAGTATCTGAGTCTTAGGAAGCTAGAGTTGTGTTTTCCATATATCTGAATGAATGAGAGATAGCCCTGCTCACCTAGCCTTCTACTCAGCCCCACCAAAAATTAAGAAAGGATTGGAACTGGAGAAAAGGATATCAGGGAGGTGGGGAGCACTTTCCTTACTCCCAGATCACAATTTTTAAAAGAATCAGACTGTCCTAGGAGGAGGAAAGAACTTTGGAGACTAAGAAAACACAGAGGTGAAAGTCTAGAGCTGGGCTAACTTTCCACAAGATTGGGAAGGGGCAGAGGCTGCCAATCCCAGGACAGGCACAGCCCAAGTCCACTGTCCTTTCAGCTCCCCAGAAAAGTGCACATCTGCTGCCAGTCTCAGCAAAGTTCCCAGAGGAGCTCTACCTCTCAGGAAATGAGGTAGACCATCATCATAAATGTTTTGGTGCCAAGCAGTAGCTAGGAAGAGGTTCAGCCTCTCGTCTCATAATTCCCATCAGTGCCACTCCCAAACCCATTGCCAAATAAATATACAATCTAAATAAAATTAGTATGTTTGCTACATGAACCCAGTTTCAATTCAGATCCCCTAGGTTCCTTCCATCCAGACTGCACCCAATCCCAAACCCTTCCTAAAGGGAAATTCTTGAGCTTCTATTGAATACCAGCAGTGATGGAAACAGACCAGAGAGCCCTCCCTATACATTCTGGGACCTTTCCCAGACCTGTGGATTTATTGTACTACCGCACAGTGAGATGGGGAACTCAGAGCCTGATTTGTCAATAATGATGACAAAAAATAACGCAATGTGACATTTCTTACACTTAAATGGAATAAAAAATAATCACACATGATACAATAATTGTTCATCTTAAAATCTGTGTTTAGGCAACAAATACTTATGTCCTTCCTGTAAGTATTTCACTTTTATTCTCTAAAAATATTTAGTGACGTTCTCTCAAAATCACCAAGCTCCTACTTCAGTTGTCTCTGAGGAAAGGAGGAGATTTTTGCACAGGACTGGGCAAAGTCTTGAAAGGAGAGCTGTGTAATGATGCGGGGTCAAACACCATAGGGGCAGGAGGCTTTAAGGAGAGGGAATTCCAAGAGGAAAGAATTCCCCTTGGAAATTCTTCTTCCAGAGAGTTTCTCTGCTATAACTCTGTAAGGTTCTGTGTTCTCTTCATAACAGAAGACGTTGTCTTGTATTAAGACATTAGTAGGAACTTTTTCACAGGTGGCTTTAAGAAATAAATCACAAAACTAGTAAGACAGGTATAAGATAATGGCCTTCTGCACTGGAAATCACTAAAACAGAGGTTGAAAACTAGAAAGCTGTGGGTTAACTCAGGCCCAAAGACTTATTTAATGTCCACAAAATGTTTACTGAAAATCTTAGTTAAGTGCCAACCAATCAAAGTCAGAAAGCCTATGTAAAAATCTGCGATTTCCAGTTTTTCTTGAAAAATTAGAAGACTGGACAACACTGGGCCCCAGCATGTTCACCTGGCAACAGTCAGCTGGACCAGGAAATCACTGAGCCCTTTAAATACCCCAAGTTCACCACAGTCCAGCACCTTCAGTCCATGTGGCATTGTATTTGGCCTGCTTCACTCATTTTGAGTACCCAATGGTCCCTGAAGTCATCTGAATTGGTGAGCTCAGCTCCAAAGGAGAAGTGAGAAATGGTCATTAAATATATGGCAAGCAGGAATGAGGGGTGGCCCGGCATTTGAAGGCCAGTGAAGGCCTTGACGTTCACACGTCCTCTGCCTGCACTGTACACAAGGCATCAGAAATAGAGCGGGCTCTGCAACAGGTTACTTCCTTTTCGCCTTTTCCTTGCACTGAACTGTCATATAAAACAGATTTCTTCTCAGTTATTAAATCCAAACAATAGCTACTCAGTGTATATAGTGTCTAGATAGACACTTAAAAGAGCTGATTCAGACCCTATCTCTCCTGGTTGTAACAGGCTAGGCAGGTTGCTTTTAAATTAACGGTGTTTCAGTTTCCTCATTCATAAAATGAATGGGTTCAGCTAGAATGATCACTGAGATAATTTTTAGTTGGCCTCTCCCCATCTATGCCACCCCCACTTATCTAGAATCTACTCAGCCCTCAAGAGATATTCAAGTTCCACCACCTCCACAAAACCTCTCTAGACTTCTCCTTTCTCTGAATTTTTGAGCTTATCACTACCACCCCCCAAATTAGCATTTAATTCTCTAATTGCTCTGCTTTGAGTGTTGGTTCATTGGCCATATTTAAAGAGAAAATTCCTTTAAATAAGAGATTATACCGTTTAATTTTTAAATCCCCCACAACACTTTACACTTAATTCGCATTCAATAATTACTTGTTAATTATTTAAACCGAATAATGATACAGAAAATATCTATAAAATGGCAAACTTCCCAAAGAGCAGCTTTCATCAGCCTCTTCAAAATGAATTACACTTATCAGCATCACAACTTGCTCATCTGATTCAGGCAGGCATAATGTGTACCACGCAATGAAGAGACCCACTATTAGATTACCATATTATTTTGTACATGGTCACCGCTTCCTTCCATAGCCAAAAAGCTCAAAAGGGGAAAGACACAAACAATAACTCACTACAATAATATATTATCCACTGAAAGATTATTTTACCCACGAAAATAGGGCATGAGAAAAATTTTCCTACCACAATTAAAAAAAGAAAATCAATTACTAGTAAAGGGCCGCAGGTCAAACATTTGAAAACTACAGTAAAAACCACCCTTGCTACTCCCCCACCCCTTGGATGTCATCAGAAGTTCTGAGTAACAAGAGGCCAAATTAAGATGCCATGTGGGCGGGGATTTACCCACCTTCACCGGAAAAGCAGTGGGATACAGGTTTTACTTGTTTTGGTCAAACTTCCCCACACACACCTCCCGAATAATTAAGCCTTTAGATATGTGGTCAGTTCTTCCCCATCAAAGCAAAGCAAACACAAGAAAAGAATAATTCAAGCACAAAATTATTTTTTTAATATTTTTGTGATTGCCTTAGTTTCTCTATTCAAGATAACTAAGATAATTAACACTCGAAACTAAATTAACAAGTGTTAATCATGTTTTAACAGCTAGCCAATTCTAGTGGATTGAAATTAAGTCAATTTAAAAAACGCTCTCCTGCGATGGAACAACACTTAATACGGGTGTTTTCACTTAACCCATACTCTATGGAAGGAGAATTAGTTCTGTAACTCACATTACACCCATAAAAGGCTTGAGGGTCTGAATCAAGAGGTAGTGTACCTCTAGGCTGGGGAAGGGATTTATGCAAGCGCAGGGACGATGAATCATGAAAAACTCCCACCTGGACCTTTCTGGAAAATCATAACCCCATCCAATGAAAAAGGATGGGGAATACTGACTAAATGCCTATAATTTTTTCCGGGGAATCCCTGTAAAACACCACAAGGTTTTACAACCTGAGGGGAACAACAAGGGTCTCAAACTTCAAAAAACAGAAAAAAGTAATATTTTTAAACAGCCTTTCAGCAGCTCCAAGCCTTTCAATGGTTTGTTATTATCTGACGTTTCTGATCGCCCAGTTAATTCCTCCTCTCTGACGCGAAGCCCATCTGTCAATCTATGCACACACAGCCTGAAGAGGGCTTTTGATTAGGCGCCCTCCTCTAGCCACGCCTACACACGGAGCATCGCGAGGAACGGAAAGCATGCCCGGCCTCCGCACACCGGCATCTCCGCCGCTCAGTAGCTTAAACCCTTGCTAGGTTTTTCCCACATCCCTGTGAAATAAAATGGACAGACCTCAAACAGAGCCGGAGAACGAGAGTGGCGATGTCTCTTTTAATTTAGGTCAAGGCCAGTTCTACTCTTCTACGGTCCTTTGAAAGGAGATACCACGCCAACCAAGAGTGCCTCTCCACGTCCTATACAAAGGCACAACCCTGCCCCTCTGGCGAACCCCAGTGGAACGGAATATGTTCCTCTGGGATCACAAGCGGGCATGGCGTGGGCAAGACCTTGAAGTTCAATTCTCTATAATACTATGCCCACCAAAGGCGTTTCAGCCTTAGGCTTGGTGTGGAACTTAAGATGCTCCACACAATCCAGTACAACTCCGAAAGCCCAGGGTCGACTCTGTAATGTCAAGTTTAAGGCGAAAGGACGAAGAAAAAGGTCCTCCTCCATTCCATCTGCTCCACAACAGCGCTAAACTGAGTTTTGAGGAGAAGCTCTCCAGTGACTCCACCTACTGCGTCTTCCCTCACACGCACACACTCAGCTCCACAAGCTTCTGCAGCCGTCGGGGGATGAAGTCCTTACTTGGCCACACATGTGAGGCGGGGGTCCTCCTCTCTGAGGACCACCAGCGCAGCAAGAGACTCTCCCCTACTCTCCCGACTCTCCACTACTACCCCCCACAGCGCCGGGGCTCCGACTCCAGGTAGTCAGAACAGGCAACCTGGACACCCAATTAGCAGGGGATCCCCCAGGCAAGCCTGGCCAATCGCAGCCAGCGATCCAAGACGACCAGACGTGACGTCAGATGCGATTAAGTTGGCGCGTCACCTCGACGTCAGCCTCTCACCTCTCGGACGTCCCGTCCCGGGAGCAAAACTCCAGCGACTTTGGGCCCCGCCTCCGTGAGAGTGAAAGGCGGCCAATGAGGGCGGTGCTGGGAGGGAAAGGGGCCAATGAGAAGAGCCCGGGGCGGGGCGCGGGGCCGGAGGGTGGGGCGGGTGGCGGCGGTGGCAGCCCGAGGTCTGGCTGCGCGCAGTATATGACAGTACGTCAGCAGCGGGATGGCCGTAGCTGTGGCGGCGGCTGCAGAAGCCCGAGCAGCCGCGGCCGCAGTGGAGGCTAGAGCCGGAGCGGCGTCGGCGGCGGCACCCCGGGGAGTTTAAGATGGCGGCAGGGGGGGCGGCGGGCCTGCGGGAGGAGCAGCGCTATGGGCTGTCGTGCGGACGGCTGGGGCAGGACAACATCACCGTACTGCATGTGAAGCTCACCGAGACGGCTATCCGAGCGCTCGAGACCTACCAGAGCCACAAGGTGAGGGGGCCGACCAGCCGGGCTCGGGGAGGGAGAGGGTTCCCCTCGCCGCCCGGCCGCGCCTCCCTGGGTCCCGGGCACCCGGCGGGGGGCCGGTGGAGCCGTGGCTCGCTGCCGCTGCCGTCAGCGCCCGCGGCTCCGAGCTGGGCAGGGCCGGGCAGGGTCGCTGACGCCGCGGTCCCGAGCCGGCCGGGCGCCCGGACGTTGGGAGGCGGGCGGGCGGGCGGCCCCTGGTGGTGGGGCCGAGGCAGCCGCAGCCCTGGCTCGGCTGCGCTGCCGCTGCGGGGCTTTCCGACGGCGCCCGCGGGTTTCCTGGCTTTTTCTGTGCCAGTGAGGGAGAGGCACCAGGGCGACAAGTGAGATGACCACGCTCTCCACGGCGGGGGCGGGGGGCGCGCGCGGCGACAGGGTAACGCACCCGGGAGGACCTGCGGACACAAGCCTTCTGTGTTGAGGGGGGTAACATATAGTCACCGTGGACCCGCAAAGACAGGGACACCAGCGCTCCGCGTCTGGAAGTGGGGCACACCTTATACTCGCAGGGACTTGGGGACACAGGCACTCCGCATATGGGGCAGGCACACCGTGTACTCGCAAAAGCTGGGACACAGGCGCTCCGTGTACGAGGGGGGAAGAGGACACACCTTGCAATCCCAGGGACTCTGGGACACAGGCGCTTCGTGTTCCCAGAGACGCAGCAGCACCGCGTACCGAGGAGCCACACACACCCAGCGCTCACCGGCAACAAGACATTGGTTACGGAGGAGAGAGATTCACAGAGGCTCCTCGTACCCGAAAGACGCGCCGCGTCTCGGGCGAACTTACGGATAGGGAGACCTAGGGAGACGTGGAGTAAAGGGGAGAACACACTGCGTCCCGGGCAGAGACTCCCGTTGCTTACCCCGCACCGCCTTCCGGCGAGAGACCTAGGGGGACACAGCTCGAGTGCAGCGAAGGGTCGTACGGACGCACATGCACCACAATTGGAGTACAAACCCAGGAACGCATTTTCACGTTGAAAAAAGGAGAGAGAGGCACACAGAGGAGACGCCGCAACCCGGGTGCATGAGGAAGCCGTTTATGGACATGCAGTGCGGTGTGTGGATGAGGGAGACAGGAGTGGACACATTGCAGAAGGAGAGAGATATATACCATATGAGGACGGGTAACATTTACTCTGAAAGGAGAGAGGGTCGGAGGGAGATAGAACCCATGGGGCATCCTGACAAATCGCCCAGTCCATACCGAGGAAACATGCTCCAATTAACTGATCTCATAAAACAGACACAGAGGGCCAGAGGGATACCCAGATACAGACTCACATAGTTATTCAGATAAAAGTGAAGAAAAGAATTAACATCTGTTGAGCTCCCACTAGTGCCAGGCACTTTAAATGCATAAAAGGAAGAGACAGAGTTGGAGGCAGAGCCACAGGAGAGGTGTGAACCCTGGTTCACTAAGGGCGTGTGAACCTGGGGCAAGGGAGACATGCCCCAAGGAGACTCAGTTCAGAGAAACCCCCTGCATATGTGTGCACACAGGAGGAGGCACAGCTTGGGAAGTACATGAACTCACATGATAATGTACGTGTAAACAGCAGGCTCTCATGGAGGTGAGCATGCTCACAGGGGGCCACTCACAGAATTGAGTGGACACATGGATGTACACTCCAGGACACATATGTTACCCACCAGAGAAGCATATGGTAAGAAACACTCAGATTTGAGAGGAGAGGGAGGACTGCATACACAGGGAGAAAGACACTTTCCTGCATACCATGAAATCCCAGGGAAAAAGAGTCTCATGTATGCTGGGAGGTCAGTGTACACCCAGCAATAGGAATGGAAGGAGATCTAAGAAATAGAAAAGTGTGTGTATCAGTAAATACTCTCAGACAGGTGCACCTGCGGGGAAGAGAGCAGCGCCAGCATGGAGTGGGAGGCCCATATGGGAGAAGCCAGATAGGCAGGCAGAGGGCACTGGAGAGGAACTCAGCCCTGCAAGATGGAGAGATAAGCCTGCCTGTTCCAAGGGGAGGTTGTGGGAAGGAATGACAGTGGGAAGAAGGTAGGTCAGGGAATGTAAAGAGGAAAAAACACAGAGGCCAGAGAGGAAGAAGCCAGCAGAGGAGGCCAACTTTCAGTCGGAAACAGACCCAGGGAGCAGAGAAAGGCTGACACACAGAGGATGGGAAGAGGCATCTCTGGGGACAGTAGGTCAGCCAGCCACCTTGGGGGAACAAGAGGCAAACTGTAGTTGATTACAGCCAGATTGACAGACGCTGTACACTTGGCAGGGAAGAGGTGGGTGAGGAGGCCCACACAAGGAAGGGATAGTACCCAGGGAGAGTTAGGTGACAGAGAGGCTCCCTGGGCTCACTGATCTGCATGACGGCTGAGGCCCAGGAAGGGAGTACTGTTTGTTTTCCTACCTTCATTTCTACCACCTACACTTTAGTGTTTACATGTTTGGGATTAAGGTTGGAGTGCTTTGACTCCAAAAGCTCCCACATTTATATACCCGTGTCTTCCAGGAGACAGGAAATCAAAAATTCTTTCTCTCCTAACTCACCTCTTAGTTCTTGATTTTTTATTTTATTTTATTTTATTTCATAGTCGAAGGTACCGAACTCAATGCCTTTCTTTGCTCCTAACTACTTCTGTTACCTATTAATATCATTACTATCTTTTTCCATCTCTGTGCATGCCAATTAATGGGTCTGGTCAGTATGTACAGAGACAGAGAAGGGAAAGGAAAGATGACTTTTCCAAGTCCCTCCACCTTTCTGAGTGTGGAGCCAGGTAAACTGAGTTAATCCTAGGATTCCTTTTCTATTGAAAAGCTGGTAGTAGAAGCAGTGCCATACAGGGAGAGGAGGAAGAAATAAGCTGACTTGGCCTTTGCAATTGGACACTGCCTTGTTTCTGACTCAACCATCTCCTGCCCCCAGGCATCACTGTCACTTCAGCCACGGAAACACTTTTTAAAGGGGCTTGGAAAAGCAGGAATTGGGGTAAAACTGTTACTCCAAGATGGGTGAAAAGTGGGAAGAGACTGAAGAAAAAGAAATGAGGGATCCTTAGGGTGATCGTACACACTGTTGGTACTTACTACAGGATCCTCTCGCATGTTCGGTTAAGCCTCCCACGAATGAATGTGTCCTCAGTGCCCCTCCTCCTGGCTCAGGCCGGACCAGGGCTCCCCCATCAGCACAGTAACAGCTGCCAGCAGTAGGCATCTGGCTGAGCTTTTATCCTCTAGTAGAAGGATACTTGTTTGGTCTTTTACACCTTCCACTCTTATCAGAAGTAGAGCTTGTGGCTTTAAATTGTAGCTGCTCTTTGGAAATATGTTGGCATGTGTTGACTAATTGGGAAGAAGTTTCTGATGATCACGCCTATTCTCTCTGGAAAGAAAATGCCTTTAATTTCTCACATAAAACTGCCTTGCCATTTCTTTGCTTGGATAGGAAGGTGCTTGATGCTTAACAAGTGGCCTCCGAGTGGCTTTGGCCTGTGCAAGGTTATGACTGTTATTCCTCATCTCCTAATGACTTTCTAAGCCAGAAGTTTCAACAGGTTAATTCTCCAAATTAAGCATCAGAGAGCTATTATCCAGGTTATTTTGTCTGTTGTATTTACTCATCTAAATTAATCCACTTGACGTAAGGCTTTAGGGAGGTAAATTTAGGAATTTTAGGAAAGTTTGGTTTAGGCAGAATGCAGTTCTTTAGGTATAATTGAGCAAGTATACAAAATTATTAGGGTTCATGGAAACAGAATCTTTAATTGGAAACAGTTCCTCACTGTTTCAGATGACAGGCAATTCAAGTTTTCTATTTTTAGAGAAGAAATGAAGAATGCTAACTTGGGAACCTTTCTAAACAGGGACTGGGATGGGGAAGAGAGACATTGTGAGTCTAGGAATGGGAGCTGTGGTTGGAGTAAATATCTCCTAAAAGTTGTTTTCTGCTCAATTTCAAATGGATTAGTATAAAAAAGTGTTAACTGGGAAGTTATTTTCATAGTTTGCAGAATAAATTTAGACATACTAATTCAGATATCTAGGACATATTGCAAAGCTACTTTTTTTTTTACTGTAGATAAATTATTTTGAATGAAGGGACAAGTTACTAAATAAATAAAATCACAAATTACAACTTTATAGTCATTCTAAATTGATGTCTTTTATTAGGTGGTCTGTATAAACTGTACATATTTTAAAGGAGCATATGTTACTGTAATTATGTATTTCTCCCAAATGTATGCTAAAACTATATTTAAAATTAAAACCCAAAATTGTAAAATATATTTTACCTAATTTCTTCAGTAATGTAGCTGGCTTTATTTTGATATCTGAGTAACTCATTTGTAGTAGTCGGCCCTTGCTGTCAGTGACTCCGTGGATCAAAAGGCCTACGACGGTTGTGTCTGTACTGAACATGTACAGACCTTTTTTTCTTGTCATTATTCCCTAAACAATACTGTATAACAACGATTTACATATCATTTACATTGTATTAGA